TGCTGATGCTGGTCTGGTTTACAAACAGATGTTGTGGAACATTAAGATGCTACAGAAAGGGAAGTTGTCAACTTGAAGGGGAAAAACCAGGCAAAGAAATGGAACTCTCTTGTTAATTTCCATTCATACATTCCTACAAGTTAAGGCCTGACATAGAAGGCTGAGTGCAGAGGGAAAGATGGTTTTCAGCTCAAAAGAAACCTGAGAAGGGGGACCTCCCAGTTCTTGTACCTGGCTGCATGGTGGGCCCAGGTGCTGTGGTCTGTCGTTGGGGTTTGAATCTTTGACCACCTGGGGAACTGGCCTGGGGGTGGGTTTTGTCCTTAGCCTTCAGGATATAATTCCTCCCAGAGGACTCCCTGAGAATATTTAGTGGGACACAGCCTCTTCCTAATTGGCCTAAGATCTACAGCTTGAGGCATTCCTTCTCCGTTCCGTGTCTCCAGGACCATCTTTCTTTTCCCCCCACCAGAGTAAAAGCCAGCTCCCTGATCACTGTCCCAGCTCCTGGGAGGCCTTTGTGGGGTCCTGTCCATTTTACTCTGAATTACTGTCCTGCTCAGAGTTCACGCGGGTCCTGAGGAAGCCATGGCACAACAAGAGTCACCCACAGTAGACCTAAATACTTGGCTGGAGAGGCCCAGTCCTTTGATTTTCATACATATTTTAGTGTTAGAGCCATCGTTCTTCCTGAGATGGAACATGGGATAGTGTCAGTCACTTAGATGTAACAGGATTTTGGGTGGCACTGGGAGTGGGCTGGGTGCTGCCTGGTGCAGCCTATATGGTCTAATCCCTTCTCTAAGGAAGATTTCATAGGCAATAAACCAATCCAGAGGACACCAAGCATTAACTATGGGGCTGTGAGATACTTTTCTTTTGGAATCCTGGCCAGTGATGTGCTGGAAGTGGCCCAATCCCATCCTGTATCCCGGAAGTTCTCATATGTCCAAGGGCGGGTGTCATGCAGCAGAACTCAGCAAGGCATAGCTGCTACACCAGGTGGCCAGCCTCAGTCCTCTAAGCAAAGTGGACTCCTCAATAAAAGTCAGCTCTGCGGCCAGCTCCAGTCAGTTGCCCGGAGAAGGATTGGGAGACTGAGCCATGACTGTTCGCAGTCAGTCAGGCCTGCCAAGGAAGGTTGTCACCAAGTCTGTTTGTAAAAAGCTGACAACCAAAATCTGTTTTGTAGCTGTGGCATATGTAGTGCTGTGTACCAGGTACTATTCTAAACTCTCACGTCTTCACAAACAGCCCAGCAGGTGCCTACTGTTACTGGCCCTGCTTACAGATGGAACTCCAGGGTACAGAAAAATTATGTTTCTCACCCAGGAAAGAGGACATGTAAGTGGCGTCACCAGAAGTGTAACCCAGACAGTCTGCCTTTTGTGCATTATCCTCTGCCCTTTTTTAAAGATCTGAATTTCCACATCCACACATGAGATTAGAAGCAAAAAACAGATTCACAAGGTACAAGTAAAACCAGCAAGTTGTTACATCATCTCCTTTATTCCTGAGGGAAGAAAGGGACAGATCTCCAGGTAAAGAGGGCTTCTAAGCTTAATACAGTAGTTTTCACCAGTCCACCAACCTGTGGTATCCCCTGTCTAAGAAGAGGGCAGAGTTTCACCACAGGCCAGCAAGTCTCAGGTCAGCAGGCCCAGCAGTGGCACCAGTGGCCAACTGTGTCTCCCAGCTGCTCTGCAGAGCTGGTTATTGGCCACCTCTCTTTGACCAAGCCACCAGTTAGTTATGGCCACCGTACATAATAATAGAGGTTAAGCATCTGGGGGCCAAGTGACCAGCACACAACTAAACGCATCAGTCCTTCATCTGTGTAGGCTGAAGCCACTCACATGCTCATGTTTCGGAAATGTCACAGAGTTCAACATTCCTACATCATTATTTGCAATTTCCAAGAACACTGTCTATTTAAGGTCTTCACACTTCACCTACTTAAGAGGACACAATTTGGGGACCAATGAAAGGCCGTTACAAAGTAACTTCTAGAGATAGCAACCATTTCTGTTCTCTTTCCTAGGAGTCGCATGTGTGTGTATGCACGTGAGCATGCACACAGGTATTTAAAAATATGAGATCATATGGTATATACCATTTTGTGAATTACTTCTGCACTTATTATAGGATGAATGTAATACATAACTGAAACTGTTTCAATAATATTTTTGGTCAGCCCTTTGAAATTTTGTTGTTTCATAATTAATCAGCACCCTGATGCAGAAGTTTAGGTTGTATCCAATTTTCATTATTATAAACGTGGCTTTGATAAACTTCCTTGTATTTAATACTTTATGCACTTTTTAAATAACTACCTAAGAATGAATTTGCAGAAATGAAGTTATTAGATCAAAATGTATGCCTATTTTTAAGAGTTGTATAGTAATTACTAAATTTTTCCTCACAAAGTCTGGACCAATTATTGTACATGCTTATCAACATTGTATGAAAGTTTCCATTTTTGGTATCTGCAGTGATATATTACTTTTAAATATTTACCAAGTTGATAGACAAATAAATACAAATAAAGTCCTAGTTTGAATTTGTATTTCTTTGCTTATAAATAATATGTTCGTGTGTTTATTCTCCACTTATATATTTTACCAGGTAAACTGCACACTCATATTATCTGTGAGATACAGATGTTAGAAATGTAAGAAGCTGTCATATATTAAGGGTGCTAAACTTCTATCAGGCACTATAGATATTTACTATGGTGTGCTATTCAACTTTAAAGCATTTAGTTTTTATTTTTATCAAAGCCACATGAAGATCAAGTAGATTTTACAAGGCTGTTATGAAAACCCTAAGCCCTCCACGATTTCTGTTTCCCAAACTCAACCATTTTCACGTCTTTTAATTGATTTATTTAGTATTGTTGATGGTATCTGTAAATAACATGTTTATATTGCTATGTATTGATTTTATGGTTTTGAGTGGTATTAATTGTGCACTATGGAAATTTTATGTCATTCTAAACTCTGTCAGTGTGATACGTTCTTATTGCAGAATAAGAAGTCTGTCTTATTCTTTAGGGTCAGCTTGAGTACCTTAAACACATTGTTTGCACAATTCCAAGTTATCCTGGTTGTCCTACACCTGCACTGTTCTGATCATCTCCCTGCAGACTATCTTGTTTTATTAATCTCACTAATGAGAAATCATTGTTCATAACTTCAATATTCATGAATCTCTGCACATAATTTATGTGAATATTTGACACTTTGTTTGCTCATTAGATCTTCTTGCATCTGATACCTGTCATCTGGGATTGTCTTTCTTGTTGAAATCAATCCTTTATAATTTCCCTTAGTGGAAGTGGCTGTCTGATAAGCTCCGTTTTGATTGAAAACATTTTTACTTGACAATCTTGAGATATTCTGAAAGAGTTTTGCTGAGAATACAATTCTAATTTTTTTGGCTGGGTCTCACTCGTCTTAAAGCTATAGCAGAACTAAGTTGATAACCTTCCCTTTGCTCGTGGCCTGCCAGCTTAGGGAAATGGATCTGAGTCCCTTCTACCACTCACAGTCACTTTGTTCTGGCTTCGACAATAGTTTTTCTCCTTGAGCCCAGATAACAAGGGAGAAAGCATCCTCGTGTCCTTTTATCTCCTCTGGGGAGGCCCTCTTGGAGCTCAGACAGGAAGAGCAAAGGAGCATGCTCTGTGGGTCAGGGCTGCCCATAAGCTGTAGGCCTCAAGTTCCACCTACAGACTCTGTGGCTGCCCTGAAAACGGTCTCCTGTACCTCATTTCTGTATGAGTGCTGATCGTGTCTGGCTAGGTCTGGCTCCAGAGAAACCCAGACAGAGACCTGGGCAACTTCCCTGCGCCTCTAGGAAGCCTCTGCTAATTATCACCAGCAAGAAACAGAATCAGAGACAGAAATTCAGTAATTCTCCAGGGGTTGGGGAGGAAATAATTCCCTTAGGAAAGTTTACCAGAAGTTTTTTATAGTCACCACCTACCCCATCCCACATAGTGAGCCAGTGCTTCTGGTCCCACTGATCTGGAACCACAGTCTTTAAGAAAGTGAGCCAGCCACCTGGTTATTGCACTTTTGAGATGTGGCTTGTAAAATATTCACTGAATTTTAAAGGTTTAATACCAAAAAGAAGAACATAATAAGTGGGTAATTTTTATATCAGGTATATATTTAAATGATATTAGATAGATTGAATGGAATACAATATTAAGCACTTACCAATCCAATTATTTAAATCTAGGATGACCAAAAATTGCATTTTTTCATTAATTTTTATATCGGAATATAAAAACAATTTTACCAAATTTATTCAAAACAAGAATTAAGCTGTTGGCAGAGCATGATGGTGCACACCTGTAGCGCTGAGAAAGCTGAGGCAGGAGGACTGCTGCTGCATTTGAGGCCAACCTGGGTCACCAGGTGAAACCAGCCTTAACTTCATAGTGAAACTTTGTCTCAAAAAGACCAAAAACAAACAAAAAAAAGCGATTCAACTGGTTGAAATGAGACCTGCCCAAGTAACACTCAGGATAGTCAGTACTTAAACATGCTGCCAAGTGTGTTAATAGTAAGGCATTAAAATTAATTTCACCTCATTTTAAAAATATGGCTGCAAGGGTTACTTATGCATTGTATTTGTTGCTTGCTTTATCTTTTTGACAGCATTAATCTAAAAGATAATGTATTCCGTGTGTGCACACATGTGCAGGTGTGTTTGTATTTACATACATGTGATAACTATACAAATTGCAGTTCTGCCTGCTTGCAGCCTCTCCTTGTCAGGTAATTTGTCACACATCATTCATCCCCATAGAGGTTTTACTGTGGTGCCCACAGCTCCTGACCCTAAGCAAATAGGAAAAACAAAAAATGGAATTTCTAGGGAGCAGTGTAGTTAGCAATAACTTCATTGATCTGGCCATGCTGTCTTTCCAGAAGCTTTATTTTGCTTTCCAGAAACCAGCTAGTTCTCACTGGTGTGTTTTCTTGTTTCAGCTGCTGTAAGGAACCACTGGCCAGAAAATAGTACCGAGCCCCACACAGACAACATCGCCTTTGATCAGAATCCAGAGGACTTTCAAACAGTGGGTTCAAAAGAGGGTACTTCGATTCAGACCTCCAAAATGAGCCACACTTCTTCGGAAGCTCCAGAAGACGTTACTCTCCTAATTGAAAAAGCAAGTGCTGAAGGGAGGAAGGAGCCTTCCAGGAGAACAGATTCCACTCTTTCCCCTACCGAGCACTCACCTGAGAGCGCGAGAGTGCTGACTTCCCAGGGCAGCATCTTCTGTGAGTTTTTGATGATGCTTACTTTACTCAAGTTGAACCAGTCTTGGAAAACATTTCTGCCTCACTCTTCCCTAACTGTGCCCATCCAGTGGTCCTGGGCTGGGGTTGATCAGATTTGCGATTTAAGCCCAATCTGTGAGATGCTCATAAGGACAGATGAGAAAAGGGTGCAGATTTGTCAAGCAGCCTGGTCTGTCCCATGGCACCTACATGCCATAGACCGTTTGAATCCAAAATTCGTCCCTCCCTCAGGGATCCTTCCATGGACTCCAATCTCAGAAGCACGGGCCTCGTAGGATGCACGCATGGGAAAGACGGCCAGGCTGTCTTTTGTTTATGTTGCTTGTGTTAATGTGGTTTTGTGTTGACGTGCTCCACATAGTTGTTCTTGCTCTAGATTACCCAGCTTTGAAGTTTGCTATTTTTAACAAAGGATTTTAAGAAGGAGCTGGGCATAATGGTGAGACTTAACTGAGAAAGGTACTAGCAGTTAATAGGTACTCACTACATACCAAGATATGTTTTCTCAATCCTTACACAAAGTCAGTTCTCTTACCTCATTTTAGGAATTTCAATACTGAAGTACAGAGAAGTTATCCCAACACGTGAAGGTCAAAGAATGCACATGTTTCAGGACTAGGATGTGAGCCTAAATCTGAATACTTCAAGAGGGAGGGGTGGCTGAGGAGTGAGATGCCCAGTGCGAATGAAGGCAAAGGAGAAGCAGTTTTGGCCTCTGCAGGGTGGCAGGCCCAGCATCCTCCGGGGGGGGGGGGATGAGTGTAAGTTGTACACAGAGCAGAGAGTAGGACACTGGTGTGCATACGTAGGGACAATCACAGTCATTTTGCAGACCAGACACATTGTACTTGGTGTGGTGGAATAAGTCGCTGAAGGGCTTTGCACAGTGGAGTGATACTGTTAAAGGAAACATGAGGAGAAATCATGAGTCAGGCAGACCCAGGATGTCTGATGGGAGTTGGAGAACTCCCATCAGCAGCAGGATGGGGAACCTGCACTGAGGGAACCACCTAGGGAGACACAAGTCTAGATACTGACCTGTCGGCCACAGGGTGCAAGGAAGGGGGTTTCACAAAGACTCCCAACAAAGGAAAGTTTGTGAGGGCCTCAAGGTAGGGGAAGAAAGTGTCAAAAGTGATTCCATGTGTCACTCCCTAGCGACAGGAAGTCTGACTGGGGGCACTAAAATCTATTTAAAAAAATTTATGAAAGTATTTTGTGTCCCAATTATGAATGTTAACATGACACTGCCTGGTTTTTTTGTTTTTGTTTTTGTTTTTTGCTTTGTTTCGTTTTGCTTTTTTTGGTCATTCACATATTGGAAATTCTGTTTATGGTAAATTCCAGTAAGTTCTGGAACCATCTTTGTGGAATATGGGAGGTGATGAGTTATGATAGCACCGATCTCTTAAGTCCGTACTGTCTGATATTTGGCTTCAGTCTGCCCCCCTGCTGATAATTTTGTTCCCAAAACAAAATCTTCTTATGAGTTCAACAAATAATCTTTGGGGCTCAGTGGTACAGTGCCTGCCTGGCAAGTGCAAGGTCCTAAGTTTGATTTCTGGTACAAAAAAAAAAAAAAAAAAGATAGAAAGAATCTCTTTCTTGGTTTTGGTTTATAGACTTTTTTTAGGAGTTCATTTTCCAGAGAGCAACTCCTGTTTTCCTTTTATATCTGTATATTTTATGTAAATAAGAACCCACTAAACGATTATTCAGACATTCAGAAGTCTGCCGGCGGTATTTTAATTGTTGTTTTCACTTGTTCAGCCTTAGAAAGTCTTCACTTGCCATCCAGCAGTTCTGAGTCAGAAGGAAGAACTGCCTCTCCTCACGTGGAGAGCAGAACAGTCCCGGGCGTCCTGCAGCGGGCGGAGGATCCCCCAGGAGCAGTGACGGTGCACACTCAGGTGTCGGGCACTTCAGCTCTGAGTCAGACCCCACTTCCAGCTTTGGAGCCAGGAGAACCAGCCATGCTCTCTGTGAGAAGAGATTCCTCAGGACCACAGCTCTCTTCGTTTCATTTCTCCAGGACACCAGTTTATCCTTCTTCAGATTATTCTTCGTGTGAGTAATCCTGTCCCAGCTTAGCCCTCCAAAGTCGCTCAGAACAGCCACAAGTAGGTGTGTGTAGATAACTAATTAAATACCTGTAAAAGGGCCTAAAGACAACCAAAAATGCCATGCCTCTGTTGCCAAGTATTTGGACTAGAAGTACAACCTGCACAGTTTATCTCAGAATTGAAGTATCTGTTTAAAATGTTTTCTTTAACCATATAAGGAAGAAGGTAATAGTTGGCCTACCTCCCCCTCTCCTCTCCTTTCTTTATCTACTAACATATGAGGACTAAGTGTAAAATGGTGCGTATTCTTACAGAAGAGGCCACAGGTTAGGGTGCATCTTAGTTACTTTCTAGTTGCTGAGACACCATGCCCAACACCCACAAGTTACAGGAGGACAAGTTTATTTAGTTCACAGTTTGTAGAGATTGCAGTCCATAGTTGGCTGGCTCCAAGGCAGGATGGCACTACAGAGAGGACGGGCAGAAGACAAATAGTGACGGGCCAGGCAGAGAGCAGCACAACTTCCTCCTCCTTTCCCTTTTGATTTCATCCAGGCTACAAGCCTTTTGGTTAGTCTTCCCCTGCAGTAAATCCATCACCCACACTCAGAACTATGCCGAACCTATCAGAGAACCAATTCAGTACCACACCCCTATGATCCAGTCATGTCCAAAGCCCTATCTGTGAGCATATGAAGCTTTGGGGTGATGTCTAAATATAAACCGTAACAAAGTGCTTTTGTGAAATGGTGAGCCATGTATCACTTATTTCTTAATTCTTGCAAAAACACTTTTTTCCATGGCAAAGAAAAGTGGAGATGTTTGCAATTCATGATGTCAGTCACTGGCTGTGGAGTGCTCTACCCTCTCTGCTGTTGCTCTCTCCACTTACCAGTTAAGTCCTAACTCAGAGGTTCCCTTTCCATGGGCCTTTCTTCATGCCCCTGTGTGGAGGACCACAACTCTCCTTCAACAAAGAGCCTTTGTTCCAATGAGCCTTCATCCTGCTGGCTCCCCATAACTAAATATGTCTTAGTGTCTTTATTCTCACTGTTGCACTGAAAGTGGTAGATTGGAATTATCTTGATAGAATTCCGGTAACTTTTCCATGAGACAGCAAATACAAACTTCCCAGAACACACAAGGTCCGGGAAAGGCTCTCTGTTCGCTGGTCTTCTGTGCTAAACATCTTGTAGTACAAAGTCACTCATCGGATTTGAGTGCATACCTGCCTGGAGACTGTACTCCTCCTGACACATTAGCTGGGTCTGTTACTTATTCTAGTCCCCACTGCCTCCACACAAGGCAGTCCATAAGAAATGGGAATCAGCACAGGGCACATGCTGTCAAAAAGAATGCTGGAAACCGCCCCTCCTCGGTGTTGTTCAGTCTCTGCTGCTCCTTCATCTGGGCCGTAGGGCACAGGACAGAGGGTTGGACGCATTCTTGGGAAACTGAAGTTGGGTTGCTTCAGAAATTACCATTTCAAACTTCTTGTAGGTCAGAAGTTTTCAGAAATACTTTGCAAGAGTAGGAGTTTAGGATTATGTCATCAAAGCAAAAACTGAATTGTAATGCCTAATTAAAGCAGCCAGCTCCTCTTCCATACACGTGATATACAGCTTCCTGCTGACTGAGTATGGATATAATTTATGATTCATGTTTTTAACGGACTGTCTTTTAAGATTATTCATAAACACTGGTTGGACTGGATAAAGCCTATGATCCTTTGTAGCTGCAAAGTTTTGGTGGTTCATTGATTTAACAACCAAATTTACTAAACGGTGGAAAGGAAGCATTTTCTAGGAAATTGTACTTTTATTTTGGTCAGGGTCACTTAAATATTTATAATTTAGATTGATATATTTGAAAATCAGCCCATATTTTTAACTTGACTGAACTTATCTCTATTCACCTATAATTTTTCCAAAATAACAACGAAACTTGACCTTTCAATTCTTTGAGTAAATGTCCTTCTAGCACCTTATGGTTCTAACTTTTGGAGAGTTCTACTCTTTCATATTCTTGTAGTCTTTTACTGAGACTTTCACTTCCTTAATGAACTATGTGTTCTGTTTTATGTAAAGTCTGATCATCTTCTTAGATGCTGAAGAGGGCTTTGGGGTGGACATATGCATAAAAACCTGAAGCCAGAGAAAAAAACAAAGTTTAGATTTATTTTTAAAGCTTGTCTAGCACCTGCCTGCCAAAAGCAGGTGTGCATACCTCCTGGCTCCCTGAATGGAAATCTTGAGAGTTTACTCTCCCCTTCTAACTGTATAATAAAGAAGCTGCAAGTAGCTGGGCAGCCTGCAGGACCTGCCAAGACTGACCTGGAGTTGGCCTGGCCTGACCGGCCAGCTCTACAAAATAACAGGCAAAGGAATGTGACAGAGGCCTGTGCCTCTCCATCCTCTAGTAAAGAGCCCAGCACTCAGACTCATCAGATTAGTGACGCTCCTCCGTAGGCGGGCACAAGGATGATGAGCTCGGAGCCTGGCACGGTGCGGATGGTGCTCCTCGCTGCAGATAGCAAGGGCTGAGCCCTGATGATCTGAAAGAACCCTGCTAGCTTCAGCATGTGGTGTCCACACACAGCCTTTGTAGTATGGGCTTCCTTCTCTGCCTTCCTCTGCACGGAAACACATGTGCAGCACCTCTTCTGAGGCTGAGACGCCCAGGAGTTATTTGCTCCTGAAAATAAATTGCATGTTTTACAGTGTTAAGGCTGGCTTAGGACTAGGAAGCAGAATTAGATGATTTAAAAGATCCTGGAAGCCATTTGAAATCGCCCTCCAGTTGCCTTGCATTTATTGCTGCTTTATATCTTTCTATACTTTGCTTATTTCCTGCAATGATCATGTACTATTTGATCACTGGGGGAAAAGTAAACAGAGTAATGGGGTGGAGGAGCTGTTTTCAAGGCGGAAAGAGACGTGTGTGTTGAATTGTATGAGGTGGCTACAATTGAGCACTAAATTTAGTATAAGCTTCCTGAAAGCCAGGCACAAAGGGAAGCTGGGTGGGGTGAGCGATTGCTCAGATAAAGCATACAATTTAATCCATAGCTATAAATGTTTTGGGACCAGTAAATTCTAAAAAGGAATTATTTATATAAGGAATGTTGAGGATCCTAATGGAAAATGCTTTCAATTACGATTTTGTGGAATTATGCTGGTGTTCTTTAAAAGATGATATTTTCTATAGATTTTCAGTAGGAGCTGAGGGTGTAATAATATACCTGAACTTATAAAAGTATTTCTGTGGATAGCAGAGCTAATGTGGTCCAGGTAAATTGCTTTGCGGTGATTTCACTTTGAAAAGGGAGAGGGCAAAAATAACTCAGAGCATTTTAGATTTAGTTCATCTTTCTCAAATATCAGCTGCTTCAGCTATACTTTGGGTAAGTTTAGATAGTAGTCAAATCAAGGTTAAGCACTGATGCATGCCTGAGGCTCTAAGAGTTTGCATTGTGATTGGAGAGTGATACACATAGTTTTTTACATACTTTCACCAAAATTATGCATTCTTTCCATCTTTAGTTACAAAGAATAGGAACTTGGCTTGTGTCTGCTCTCAGTGGATTTTTTAATGGCTGCTTCAGAGGGTTCAGTGAGCAAGGAAGGGCAATTATTAAATAATAATGTTCATCACTTGCTTTAAAATGGGTAAATTTCTCCTATTTAAGCAATTGCTCATTTAGTAACATTAGTAGTGATTGTAGATTAGTTTGACCAAGTGTTCTCTCTTTTTATTATGAGGCACTAACTCCTCAGCAGTATTCATATACTATTTTCTTTCTTTACTATGAACTAATACATGCATTAGTGGATTAAATGCAACTAATACATCGCTTAGTATATCATAATTGGCCAAGTAATGATTGCTTTTTATGATGATGTAGGTCAGAGAAAACATAGCCATTTTCCTTTTGTGATTTAGCATTTGTGACTTTTGTGGTTTATTTTTTGGCCACTTGTCAAAACCACCAAAACGGACATGCTGAGGCTGAATCCTGCATAATCACCACTGTGTTTTGGGGGAACATTACATGTACAAAATAATGCAGTTTATGAAGAATAAAACTGTTTTTAAAGTAGTTTGAAGCGAGGCTGTCAAACTACTAACACTCTGGAATACTGAGATGGGAGGATTGCAGGGTTCAGCCCAGTCTGGACAAATCAGTGAGACTGTGTTTCAAAATAAATAAAAAGGGCTGGAGATGTAGCTAAGTGCAGAGACTTGGAGTTCAATTCCCCATGCCAGTTGGAAGCATATCGATGCTTTTCTTTTTTATACTAAAGTGCTTTTTGTTTACCTTTTATTTTCAAGTAGGTAGGGTTGGGTTTGGGTTAGCGGTGATTATTTTTATGTCTGAGTCTTTTTATTCCTTTATTTCAGTTACTATGTTTATAGATTCCATGCGTCGTCATTTTATCATTAGGGCAGCAACTAGAACTGAAGGCTGTGTTTTAGAGATAGCGGAGGCTGTGGGTTTTTCTCTTGTTGTTGTTGTTGTCTTTCGTTGGTACTAGGGACAGAATCCAGATCCTTACATATATATAGCTGTGAGCTATGTATCCAGACCCATTTTAAAGTTTTTATTTGAGATGAAGTCTAGCTAAGTTATTCACTTGCCCAGGCTGGACCTGAACTCAATGTCCTTCTGCCTCAGCCTCTCAGAATGCTGGGATTATGGTGAGTGAGCGCACCATTCCTGGCTAGGGACTATGATTCTATATGAGAGTAGGAGGAACCTTGTGTCTCCTGTGTTTCTTTCTCTCCAACTAGATCTAACATTTATTTGTGCTTTTGGTCACAACTGCAATGAGATTTCTTTTTAAGGAACTATTTATAATGACAACTTCCTTTTCTCTTTTCTGTGTCATAATTCACAGCTCAAAGCCTTTCATTGAATCAATTTAGCATACTTTTATAGTTACTTAGCTTTTTAAAAAGGCACTCACTTCTTGCCTGCCATGTTGCTTCCTGCTCATCACACTTTCCTGCTCTTTATTATTTTTGGAATAAGGATTTCTTTTTCAGTGCTGGGTACTGAATGCAGGGCCTTACATGTGCTAAGCAAATCCTTGAAATTAGCATTTTAATGTATCCTTTTGGAGGTTGGCTCTCAGGATACCCTTTGGAAAGGTCTGTGTAAAAGGAAGCCACCTGTGGAAGCTGACTATATACACATTATTACGAATTACATATAATTCAATTCATGAGGGCTTTTTTTTTTACAATTACCCAAAGACTGCTATCCATTGATGGGGGGAAAAAACTGTTCCTAGTATGGAGTTCGTGATGTCCTAGGGGACTCCTTGGTAGTATGTTGGTGAGAACTGACCCCTAAAATGTAATGAGACTCAGTAATTCTAATAATGAAGCCTGTCTACATTTGGGTAGATGTGAACAAATGGCTTGTAGGGTGATAAGAAGTACCTCCTGCTGATTAGTTCTGTTACTTAATGCAGTTTGGTTAATAGTCTTCCAAAACATAAGATTTATGGTAGCCATGCATTGGAGAATAATAAAGAGCCCTTGATGGTGACAAGACTGGGAAGTTTTGTCCTAGGCCAACAAGGGTCCGATGTTCTGCAGAATCCTAGGCCTTCGCAGTGCTGACCAGGGATTGGAGTCCCTATAGTGGCCTGACTTTCATGGACTGGACTTTAATTTATAATAGCATGAACAAAAGAGTTACATAGCTAAAATAAAACAACTCATGCCTTATCACAATGGCCTATTCTGCTTAAGATATAATAGAGAATCGAGCAGAAAAGGTTTTAATCTCCCTCTATAAAAGCCAAAGTAAACAGTACATTTGTCATGCTTTCTCCTGTACTCCTTTTAGCTTATCCACAAAGTCTTCCCTTATGCTGATGAGGGACTTGCTGCTGTGCCACTCAGCTCTGTGAGAGTTAGACTAGCAAGGCGAGTAAAAGTTCCCTGGCTACACATGCGTGTGTAAAGATACACAAATGTTTAAGCTCCATGTTTAAATGTATACACTAAAATGTTTTCAATATTGTTCATATCTTGATTTTCTTAACCCATTGAGTACTTCTGAAGTACATTTTCTTCTGTTTTAGCTCCTGGAAGTATAAAGGAACTTACCTCCAGTATTTTCCAAAACCCATCAGTCAGCCAGACCAAGAGTATGCACGTTTCCACTACATTCACAAATGGTGCCCAAAGGGAGCTTCAGCTTTTGACTGTTAGTCAGGGACCTATAAACAAGACAGTGGGTTTTCCTGAGGACTCCAAAATCACCACAACTTCAGCCGCAGTCCACTCTTCACCCTCCACAGGAGAACTGCGAAGAAATGGCACAAGCAAGAATCCAGCAGATGAATTAATTGAGCAATCCACAGAAAATGAATTTGATCTTACATCTTTACATAAGCAAAATGATTCCCCAAGTAAGTATTCTGTCTTCACTTGATCTGTTAGGGCATTTTTAAATAGTTGAATTTTCTTAAGAGCCTTCAAAAAGACATTTGGAATCTTCAGAGAAGTTAGCTCTCTGATGATAACACCTCCTTTATTTGATAAGTCACATTATCACATTGATTTTCATCCTTGTGAAACAGTGAAGTTAACTGAAGAGGTGTGATCCCTCCTGCTTTGTGAGGAAATGAAAGCTCAGAGGGTTTAAATAATTCAGGAATGTTCTTTTCACTTTACAAAGTTATCTTCAAAGTAGTTGGCCCACACTTTACCACTACCTTCAGTGATTTGGTATGTAGATCATCTTTACAAAGAAATGTGTAGGTAGAAACATAGTTCCCAAACTCATGGTTTGGTTTAGTTCCTTTAACTGACTTTTTAAAAATATGCTTCAGAATTAGACTAATCCATTAATATTACAACTGTTTAGAAAAGTGCTCTATACACTACATTTCTGTACTTATTTGTTGGATGCAGTAACATACTCCTTTGAACTACTTTTCATGGGCAAGAGATAAAACAATTAAGCTTCTAAATTACTCTGCCATTTTGATATGCTTTTCAAAAGTCCCCTGTTTACCAACTTTCAATATTGCTGTCCTGTTAACACCCGAGACTTTTAAAATAATTATTTAGACTATGATAATGAATATCCAGTGATACAATACATTCTATGCATGATTTCTTGGAAAAGGAAACCTTTCCTTAGCAAGGACTCCCTTCTTAGTTGTTGGGAGATCATTTTCATATCTATATAATGGATTTTTTTCTGTATTTTTTATAGCTTTTGGAAGCCATCTGCTTACAAGCACCCTAGAAGCAGGAAATAAAAGCTCCACCCATCTCAAGGAGACTGTGTCTAAGTCAGTCCCGTCCATCGGAGGTGGACAGAGCACACCACACTGGCTCTTGACCAACAGTAAGACACCTGCAGATGTGACAGGAAGTTCTGCTTCACGTGGTGAAGTTCTGACCCAATTTTCAGACTCTGCACAACAGTCCACAGGAAGGAAGACTGCAGTGGATGAGAAAAGTTACTCAGAGTCTTTGTCTCCATCTTTCTCACAAAGCCTGGAGTCCTTAGCACAACGTGGAGAACATTCAAGTAAGCTTTCATTTCACAGATGCATACCACAGGAAAGAGAGGGATTTAGCATGTTTAGGATCTTCTGTGGCATACTGAGGCATGCACTGATGAAACGGTGCCTCAGGCTCCTCTAGTTTTATCATTCTCGGGCCATTCTTCTATCTGGTTGATACACAGATACCTGTATGTCCCAACTTTTTTTGTAGCATGTCCGATAAGCTGATCCTGGTGTATCCGCTTCTGACACACAACTCAAAGATGTGTTGATGTCATCCTAATCCGTATAGGCCACCCCACATCCTCACACCAGCCCCATCACAGATTCCAGAAAGTGAAAATGTCACCTTCTCGTGAGCCATTATTCATCCCTGGTTATTCAGGGCATTTATGAAAAGATAACTCTGCCCTTACTAACAGCTTTGAGATATAATTCACATTCCATACAGTGTGCCCATTTAAAGTGTATAGTTCGGTGATTTTTAGTATATTCACCAAGTTATGCAGCCATCACTACTACCTGGCTTTAGGGACATTTTCATCACTCCTCCAAAAAAGCTCCATATTCATCAATGGTCACTTCCTATTCTACCCTTTTTCCTGGCAACCACTTGATTTATTTTCTGTTTCTATGGATTTGCCTATTCTAGATATTTCCTATACATGAAATCATATATGGCCCTCCCATTATCTATTCCCAGAACTATGTCAAACCAATCAGTGGACTAATTTAGTAATCACACAGTCTTAATCCCAGCATCACACACTAGATCCAAGTATCTCTGAAAAAACCCCATCCATGACAGTGAGGCTTTAGGGGGACATCTAGATATAACCCATAACAGTTTGTGTGGCAAAAGTGATTAGATATTGGAGCTCGGTTGTAAAAAGCTAGTTAAGGAGTAGCCTTGTTACTAAAAATAATCTCACTGTGGGCTAGTATATTGCTTTATATCTTTTCCTCTGAATTGCCCCAAATTGATCAGTTCTGCAGTCCAGGCTCTCTAGTTCTCAGACCATTTCTTTTTTCTAGGTTTAGATGTAGCCCCTCTGTTTGAGGTCACTGCCCTCCATTTTGTTAAGCCTCTGTCCCTGTCGTGGTTTATCTAAAGCTCATTTAATACAGTACTTAAAAATCTTCCCACCCAAGTCATTTTTCTCCTTGCCCAGAAACACTGCTCTCAAGCCTCTGCTAGTTGTGTCTCCATCTGCCTCCTGAACCCTTTGTTGGCCTCAAGTCACACCTCTCTCTACTTCCTGGCTTGAAGCTGCTCTAGATCATTTGGGTGTCCAGTCCCGGTGCTCATTACTGTCTCAGTTAATTCAAACGCTTCCTGAGATAAATTTATGTAAAGTTCAGCTTTACAGCCATTTTCCATTAAAGTGCTGAGTATCAAGGAATAATCTGGGATGGAAACAGGAAAAAGCACTCTCTTCATATAGAGCCAGATTGTGAAGTTTAAGCCAAGAAGAATTGGATCTCTCTCATCATTTCTGAAAAGGGTTTATTTGATAATCTAATGTAATAATCTGAAATAGTTCCAAGATTCTATAGGCTTATAGCATAAAACATAAACCCTCAAAAGAAAGAAAGGGACATTTACTCAAATGTCACCTCCTCTTTTTCATCTCCAACAATAAAATGTGTATTTTTAAAACTTAAAAACAAACTAAGGGTATCTTGATTTGTTTGCTGTTGTTTTTGTTTTGTCTTTTTGAGACAGAGTCTCACTATGTGGTTCAGGCTGGCCTTGGGCTTACTCTGTATCCTAGGCTCGTCTCAAACTTACAGCAATCCACCTGCCTCAGTCTCCCAAGGGCAGGGATTACAGCAGTGGCCACCGTGCCCAGCTCTAAGGGCATCTTTAACCTCCACCACACGTGTCTCACTAATATTCTAGAACAGGCCCTAAGGAGGACTGTGCCACCTTTTAAAGACCTTGTCCCCATATTCAAAGCCCCAACATGGTTGCTAGTCCTTACCCTGCCAACTCTCTTCCTTGCCACTAACGATTTTCCTGCAGTAACTTCCATTATGTATCACCCAGCAGAAAACGAAAATCAAATTCAGTGGTCAAGTTCAATGTTGACGTTATGGGGAAATTTGGTTCAGTTCACAACCAATATGGTTTGTGGCCAGAACCATGGAAAGAAACAAGGTAGCACTGTTCATCATTCCCCTGGGGTAATAAATCTTTTCATAAATCGAAGGCACCCGAACAGAGGTGCTGCTGATTCATAGTTCCTCTCGGGACTTCATAAACTGCGAAGGCTCTGAGAAAGCACAAGATCTGGGACTGCATCTCGGGCACTGCATGTAACCACCGCTGCTTCTCGGTTTCAGCCCCAGCCCGGGAACGCAGTACAGCGCCTGGCGTCTCTTCCGCCGGTGAGGAGAGCACTTCCGGGGCGCAACCCCGCGACGTGCACACGTCGGCCACGCTCGCCGGAAGTGGGGAGCGCACGCTGCGCTCTCTCAGCCTCACGGATGCAGCGACGTCTGCGGAGGCCGGAAGCTCCGGAGTAGCGGCCAGCGAAGCCGAGAGCAGTGCTCAGCGCAGCAACGCGACAGATGACGTGGGCCTGCTCGCACAGTCAACAGCTGCCTTCCCAGCGCTTGGAGGTGGAGTGTCTTTCGCAGCAGTGACTTATTCCACTTCCCCTCAGTTCATCTCTTGGTTTACTCACTGTCCCTAGCGTGGTTAAATTGGCCTGCAACTCAGAAAGTACCTCATGCGTTTTCTTTATGAAGAGAATTTTTGGGTTCTCCCACTCCAGGAACGCCCCCTTCCCAGATCTCTGCACACCCTTGCTGAGGCATATGGGATGACGTCTGCTGGAGGCTTAAAATAAAGGAAACCAGTCACTGGTTAAGGCCAATCTCCTGGGAAAGAAATATCTCATTATACAGAATGGAAAGTTGGGTGGGTTTTCCTTTTTCCATTTAAACATAACAATTATTCTATTTGGGGTCTTGAAAGCTTTTCAAATAACAATTTGATTTTATCAAAGAAGGCTGGGAAGGAATTTGGAACTATTCCTTATTTTTTTCGGCCCTTTTAGTACCTCTTCCCCTGCTGCCATCAGTACTCCTCACAGTAGGAAAATCGACTCAGAACAGACACTGACTGTTACAGCCTTTCCATGTTTTCTTCATTCAGAGCGCTCTGCATTATAAAACCATCTCTCCAAAGAAAGCCCTCCACCCGCTTGAGTTCTTGGATAGAAAACCTGAAGTCTGTCTTATAGTATATGTTTTGGAAATTTGTTATTTATTTACTTCATCTAACTTTGGCTTTTTGTTTTATAGTTACGGGACTTAGTGGTCAAGTGAGTGGCACAGACGCTGAACAAAGGACTTCCAGTGACCATAGAGACCACACCTATGTTTCATCTACTTTCACCAAAGGAGAACGGGCATTACTGTCCATTACAGATAATATTTCATCTCCAGATATCAATGAGAGCTCAACTTCTTATATTAAAATCCCAAACTCTTCATCTTCAGACTATTCTTCTTCTTCTCATGTTCAGACTAAAAGAAGTAATGTCTCATCCTACGATGGAAAATATATTCAGCCTTCCACTGAGTCATTGGTTCTGCACACATCCAGCTTTCCATCCTACACATCCACCATTAAAGTGCCAAACATTTTTGTTCCTCTGGATGCCAATACTGGATCTGTTGATGACTCATCTTCAGGGTCCCCTTTGCCTCCACCAGAAGTATCACAGTCCTTCCAGGTCTCATCAAGTTTACCATTAACCAGGACCTCCACACATCAGCTCAAGTCTACCTCTGAGGTGTCCACAACTTTATCTTCCTCACTTTTATCAGTATCCTCAATGGCATCTATCCCACTTTCAGTCTCACAAGCAACCTTACCACATTCGTCTTATGCACCCATCCTGTCCAGGACAAGGGAGACACCTGTGACATCAGTTCAGACCTTGACAATTGCATCATCCATAGCAATGAGTCAGAGTAATCAAACAGCAGATCCCAACAACCAGAGCATGCCACACCAAGGGAAAACTACTACAGAAGCAAAGTCATCAGTCCTGGTATCTCTGCCCACAGAGTTCACCGAATCTGTAACGAAGAGCACTCTTACAGAGGTCCCTGTGACCTCAGCCTTAACAGAATCCTCCACTGAGCCAGCCCTTACAGCCATGAGCACCAGCTTAGCCCGTGTGTCTCCAACACTGACAATTCCCAGTTTTAAGACCTCTCACCCTCCTGTGATCAGTCCCAACACCTTGTCAAACACAGAACCTCTGATCACTGGAACTGTGCTCACTACCTCTGGAAAACAGCACTTGCCAACCCATCCTGAAATTCTAGTGCCACAAATCACAACAGAACGTGACATTACCACAGAAAGGAACCAAGTGCATGTAGATGCTACAACCCAGTTGATCGCGCTGACCAGCATACCCACATCAGGAAAAGAATTGAGCACAAGGTTAGGGGTTACGGAAGAGTCCAGCCCTGCTTCGCCTTTCCTCAGAACATCACCTTTCTCCAAAAGCACAGATGTTTCTACTGCTGAAATGTTGACTCCTCAATCTACCACCCTCACTGCCCAGACTAACACACAGTCGCCAACGGCATTGTCACCAGGTAAGATACATCTCATAAGCAAATATTGACTGGTGAATTCTATCAAGCACTGATCGCTGCAGGAGGCTTGGGATTGATGAGAATGTGTGGAAATGGCTAATATTTAAGAGTCTGCTGAAACAGCATAAAATAAAGTCACAGCAGAACAAAACTTCCCCAGTTTACGTGATTGTTTTTGAAAACAAAGAAGAGACAATACATTGACCACAGGTGACATCAGTATATTCCACAGTGGTTGTTGGAGTTTGTTGAGACAGAGTGTCACTATGCAGTTCAAGCTGGCCTTGAGCTCACTTTGTAACCCAGGCTGATCTCAAACTCACAGCGATCCTCCTGCCTCAGCCTCCCAAGTGGTGGGATTACAGGCATGTGCCACCACACCTAGTTACAGTGGTAGCTTTTACTGCCCTATAATTTCAAGAGCTTGTCAAGCATGACTCTAATTTTCTGGGTTCAGAGCTAAACTGGTATGTGGGATTAGATTATAGAGAAACTAAAGAAGGTTTACGTAGCCAGGCATGGTGCCACGTGCCTATAATCCAGATACTCAGGAGGATGAAACAGGAGGATTTTGAGTTCAAGGCCAACCTGTGCAATTTAGCAAGACCCTGTCTTAGAAAAACTGTAGGTGGCCTGTCTGAAATAGGGAGTGAGTTGGGTTCCTACTCCCAGATTTGAGCCCACAGCTTGAGTCCATCAGCTAGCTCCATGACTAAGACTTCTCAGTGATAAGAGGGCTTTTGATGCAAGGAAGCCTAAGCTCTTTAAGGGGTAAAGATTGGGTTGCTAGTCAAGGACATTGTCTATATGAGCAGCCTTTCTTACATTGCGCATAATGTTATCTTCAGCCATATTGATGTTGCTGGTGCAAGGGAAATAAAGCCTCCAGATGATTCTTCGTTATGTAAGAAAACAGGTAATATATCATTTGATGCCAATGCACATTTGGGTTTTCCAGACTCAGGAAAAGTACTATTGGGGAAGGGGAGATGAGACTGACTTCAGGAAGAAGGAAAGAAGAGAAATGCTTTGTAGTGACAGGAGCAGAGAGCAGTAGCTGGAGTAGCAGTTGAAACTAGTAACTATGATCAACCTAGTAGTGCAGCATAAAGTACCCCACCAGGAGCTCCATAGTGCTCCCTTTGTGCCAGGGATCTGAGGTCCTCTGCAAAATGAAAGTTGGCTTTTTCTTTGGGGAAATTACCCAAAAAGGCTTCAGGCCCGTAGGGTTTATTTCCAAACACAAAATAGATACCAACACCATATGGGTTAATTCCTTTAGCGCATACTACAGCCATTATAATTATGACCATTAAGTATTAAGAGCGTATTGACTGCTTAGTACAGTGTTTGGTTACTGATACTGAACTTACGTAGGTGATTTTAGATAATACATAAAGTGGCAAGGAAGAATCAGAGTAACATTTGAGGATGTAGCCCATTTGTTTTCAGGGTTATTCTCTTGGAGTGAGGACTCTTCACTTCTATCCTCTCTTTCTCATTCTCTCACTGATTTCTTCTTGCAGATGATGCAGTTATGTGGTAAGTTTCATCTTTTCTAAGCATGTGTCAAATTTTTATGAAGCAGCATTACATAACTAGAATGTGACACTGCAATTACATAGAATAAAACAGATTTGTGGTCATTGCCCTTGGGTGATGTAAGTCTAAGTGACACGGACAGTTTTGTGTCATAGAGCTTCAGTGAACTCAGGTGGTGCTGTCTTTACAATATGTAAAGACCAGGTCGTGGTAGTGCTTATTACTTTCTGAATGACACCTGATATGTGCAGGCACAGTTACATTTGGAGATTTTTGGAGAAAAGTTAACTATGATTTTGATGAAGGACAGGGCATGTATGTGTGAGCACACATACAGTGAATCTTGCAGCAAGGAGGATGAACTGATTGGGAGAACACCTCCTCCCATGTGTTTCAAATTGGTATCAATTCAAGTAGAATCTTCTGAGCATCATAAAGGCAGTATAATCATAAATACTGACCTGAGTGACCTGTAAACGCCGTTTGATTTGAACCAGTTCTTGCATTTATTGCATCCAATATTCTAGCCACTATATAATGAATGCAAACTGGTGTTGGTACCCAGTTTCATTGCCCCATCTCCTGTACCTCTTGGGACCCAATTCTATTTTAGTAGTGTGGCTTTTCAGGGCAAGTAAACAAGAATCAAATTTTAACTGAAAGAATTAAATATTTACCTAGAGCTGCCTTTCCGTTGCTTTTGTGATTCTCTTATTTCTGCTGTGTTTTTAGTTAACAGCTGTGCCGTGAACCCATGTCTTCATGACGGCAAATGTATTGTGGACCTCACCAGTCGTGGCTATCGATGTGTATGTCCCCCTTCGTGGCAAGGAGACAACTGCAGTGTAGGTAAGAATAAAAGTAATGTCCAGTGGTCTGTGGTATTGTGTCGGTTTTTCAAAATGTGGAAAAACAAGGTTTTACATTAACCGTGCTAACTGGAGAGTTGACGTGCTTATGTGTTACCTTCAGGATAATGCGAGATATCATAACGCAGCACTGATAAACTTCCTAGTCAGGTTCCACTCCTCAGGCTCCCTATGCTTCTGCCGCATCAGGCCACCTACAACCCGTTAAAGATCTCTTCACTGTCTTGGCATTTACTGTGCTGGTGCCTAGAACTACCCACCAAGTCTGTTTCTTAAAGTCCTTCCAGTGTTACTTGAAACATCCTTAACTCTCCCCTTCATCAAAATCTGCTGTTTTCTCTATACACCCAAACATGCCTTATGTCTATGGTTTTGTTTGTATGCCTACCTCTGTCCTCAGGGGTGACTGATCTCTTGCTCATCTGTTGGGCCTCACTGTATCTAGTGCCACTTGATTCTTAGTGAATACTTACTCTACTCTATTATGATTTTGCTGTCTGCCAAAATTGTATGGTCATTTTTTTTTCTCCTTTGCAGATGTGAATGAATGCCTCTTGAATCGCTGCCCACGTCAGGCCATATGTAATAATACTCAGGGATCTTTTATCTGTAGATGCCCTGTTGGGTACCATTTGGAAAAAGGGATATGCAATTTGGGTAAGAGATTTAGTCTATCGTAGAGTTTATTCTGAATCATAATATATTTTATAAAATAACATTTACTGTTTTTCTTTCTAATCAAAATTAGTATTTTTTTCAAGATATAATATTAGTGTAGGAGGAAGTGGAAGACATTGCCTATTATTTTAACATTTAGAAATATATTCCTTTGTAAGTTTTTAATGTGCATTACATTTTTACATAGTTGAAATCATATGAAATTTCTATAAACTATATCTTAAACATTTTCCTGTTACTAAAAATATTATACAAATACCTTAGTGATTGTATACTGTGTTATTATCTGTGTATATCATTTGTGTATTTGTGCTTACCCATTCTATTCTTCAGTTAAGGAAAAAAAACCAAAAAGATATTCTGATTACATAGTTTTAAAAAATATTTTAGACAACCAAAGGGATCTTTGCAAGTTCAACACCAGCCTGGGCTACGAAGTGAGCTCAAGACCAGTCTGAACTGCATAGCGAGACCCCGTCTCAAAAAGACCAAAAACAAAGAAAAAAACATTGCAGAGGGAGAAAAGAGAGAATAAAATTCTGATTGTCTTACCACATTCACACATTCTTTCCTTTTTAAAACTTGGCCCTCATGATCTTATCTAAAGTAGATACGCTTTGATAGAGCTGCTCCTGTAATTGTACCACACTATTTGTTGTAGTGTTTTTCCTGATTTAATAGATTCATGAAGCTTTTTGGTTTTAAAGACAATCTCCATTTTATAGGTTAAAAAGTAAACAAGCAAACCAGGTAAAAACTAAGACCTTCACAAGGTTCTGAGTGGCCGGGTTTGTGTAGCCAGTTGATGAGAGGCCTAGTTTGCAGTCCATTGTTCTTTCTGTTGTGCAACAGTGAGTTAACTTTCATAGGGACAGGGTTTCATAGGGACAGCATGCTCAGTTTAATACCTAATTTTCTAAAGGAATTAGAGTGAAAATACAGAGTTTCTAAGTAGAAAGAGGAAACTGACAGATAAAATAACAGATATTTGAATTATCTTAAATTGCCAAATGGGCTACTTAACACACAAAAGTGCTCAATGATTATGTTCGAGAGACTAAATGTGTGTATTCTTTGAAAGTTATCTGCATGAATTCCTAGTACCTGTAAGGATAAGGGACTTTTTAAGAAGGTTGGTATCCTACTAAAATAATAGCAAAAGTTTGAAAATTGTTTAGATTATAAGAACTAGACACTTTTTTAAAAAGTAGACATAGATATCAGTCAAAATCAAGAATTCTTTTTATTCTAACAATTTATTTGCATTTGGTAACCCCTTCTGTTTAGCCATACCTATGTGACATTAGCCAAGAGTTTTTAGTTTAAAAAGAAAGTGGAAATAATTTTGTTTTAAAGTACACTTACCCATGGCTCAGAGGCCTAGTTTCTAGCTCCTGGATCACCACCTAGCCCCTGAGCCTCAGTTTCCTCATCTGTAAGATTAGATTACAACCTGCTTTGCTTCCCAGTTAAAATTATTGTGACAATTAAATAAAAATTGTGTTGGATCAAGTTTTGAAAATAGTAAAAGTGCTATCCCAATGGGATGCTTCACTTAAACTACTGGACCAAATTTAAAGCTATGAAAACAGACTACTCTGACACAAAATAGTAATTATGGATATTTCCAAATATGTTTTAGTTAATATAGCAGTTAAATGCTATATTTAAATAATATACCAGTTAATCAAAAGTTAAATTTAAAGTAGAAGTTCATGTTAAAGTTGGATGATGTAAACATCTTTAGAAAAATCCCTGCCTAGAAAGATTTCCGGGTTTGGGAAGCCACTAATGCAGCTTCATACTCAAGCTGCAAGCAGAGATACACTGACTGCCAAGATTCAGGAAACTTCTTTGTGCCCTTTGTGTGTACCCGTTTCTACTGTGTATGTTCCTGTAGGGAGAGCTCTGGGGCTGAGCCTGGACTGTGAGAGGTACAGATGAAGGAGGGGGTGACCCCGCAGTGCCCCACAGGTGGCACAGAGGAGGAGAGCAGAGTCATTGTGTTAACAATCATCTTTCCCTTTTCAAGTCATTGAGCCTTATTGTTCGTAAACACCAGAGGAACATGCAAATTAGAGCGTGCTGAAATGCTTTCATTTGGCCAAGAACGTTTTCAAAGAGCTCCCTGCTGCTCAGAAAGGGTCCTGTGCAGCTGGCGTCACTGAACTGTAGAACAAGCAAAAAGATGTTAAATAAAAATTAAGGGATTTAGACAGTTAAGTATAAGATGTTAAATGTTTTCCCTGGCTCATTTATGCCCCTTTCTCTTAATTCTACATGCAGACTTTGCTTGAAAGAGCAGTTTCGTGGGCTTCTGTGTTTTGGGTTATTACTTTTTTTTTTTCTGTCCAGAGGGAAAGATAAGAATTTAATATAATGGAAGATAAGAGCCAGATATGAAGCAAGCTGTCAATTTTTGGTTGTCTGCCCATTTTCTAAGTCCCATCCCCCTCAGGCCAAATCAGCACAAATTGGTGTTAACTAGAATTTTATTTTATGAGTGAAATGGGGCTTGAAAATGGGGCTGTTTTAATTTCTCAACCCCTCAGTGTCTTGAACATGGGTTATTTTCATTAGGTGGCTCATATTACACAGGCTGGCAGACCCCAGAGTGCAGACCCACTACAGCTGCTTGGCTGCTTTGTCTGTAGCCTGCTGGTTGTTCTCAGAGCATCACATGCTGTGGGGGCAGAGGACATAGTAAGGAAGAAGATGTTGAAGATGGCCACACAGGAGTTTGAAGGCTGAGTTTGACCCTTGTGAGCTGGGTGATCTTCCACAAGAAGCTACCTAACTTGCGGAAGGCATTTTTTATCAATGATAAAACAGGCATTTCCTCTGCGCAAGAGTGAGGAGGTTGAATGAGGGTGATTCTAAGAAGAGGAAACCAGAGCACCCCTTGGAAATCAAATAATGACCTTAAAGAGCTAGAGCCTTCCATGGTCTTGCTCAGAAGAGGCCTGATGAATAATTTGATTATCTGACACCACATCTGCACCTTTTCCTCCAGAATTACATTGTTTAGACTTGCCCGTCATTCTTCTCACAACTTTATTGGCATCTGTGTTGTAGGAGGCCATGAGAGGGATGTCCACAAGGACATGTACTTGCACATACACAGAAAAAGGCTCCTTGGAGTCTCCCACTCAAAGCGTGACTCAGTCTAACCCTTCAGGTCAGTGCAGTAGATTACTCACTGTGCTAGAGAGGAACCTAAGAGAGGCGGTCTCCACTCTCGATGAAAAAGAAATGCACAGATGAGCCTGTAAAGGAGGGTAAAGCTGACTACCCAGAGTCACAAACATGACAGCCTCGCCTAGATGTTTCTGTTGCATGTGATTAAACAGGTAACATTTTCATTTTCAGTTAGAACCTTCGTGACAGAGTTTAAATTAAAGAAACAGTTTCTTAATACTACGCTGGAAAAATATTCAGATGTACATGAAGTTGAAAATGAAATTACCAAAATGGTAAGTTTTCTTAAAAGCCTCTTGTGAAAACAACAACAACAACAAAAAGAGCCTCTTGTGCTCCTCCTTTGTTTTCTAGAACAGATTTTATTCAGAGTTGTAGACTGCCTAGGGTTCACCTCTCTTGCCTGGGCTCTTTATTTCTTTTGTCTGCAAGGGAAACTTCATGGTAAAAACAGAAGAGAGGTGTTGAGAACTAGAAGTGTTTCTTCAAATGTGTCTTCACATTTATTTCTTTATTGCCATTGTATTCTTTTCCATATGCAAACTCCTAATCACAGACATAAAGGTCACATAAATCAACGAGGGCTGTTGGTAAAGAGGAAAGAAAGACCCAGTGCTGTTAGGGCAACTTGCCTTTTAAGACGGTGCAGAAGCTTAGAACCTGTGCAGAGTGCAGTCCTTCATATTACTCTGAGCTCAGTGTCTCATCTGACTTGAATTTTTTGTCCAGTATATAGGATATAGGAATGATATTCAAATGCCAAATAACAAGGGAAATTATAACTCCCAGCCTGCTAGGTGAGTTCATGTTCTCTAAAGTCGAAGAATGAATTATAGAAATAACAGAAGTTAAAAGCAGAAAATACTTCTTGGGAGAAAGTTAGTTTTTGTCTGAGAGAGACAGAGGGAATCTCCAGTGGGTTGCTAAAGATCCCACTTCTCAAGGGAGTTTTTCAGATTGAAACCATGAAGTGAGCAGGTCTAAGGAAGGAAAAACTATAATCAACTAATAAGATTATAAATATAGTTGCAATATAACTAATAAGAATATAAATATAGTAACATTGATCTAGTGGAAAATCACAAGATGGGTATGAGGTAGTACAAAACTATGGTGAGCTTATAAGATTATGAATATACTCACTTAAATAATATTGATTAAATGGGGATCAAATGAGGAAGCAAGTCACATATCAGGTGTTCACAGAAAGAATCAGGACTTTTCCTGAAAGAGAAATTTTAGTCCTTCACCAAGGTAATGAATACCTATTTAGAATGTAGATATAGTCATTGTATCTTTTATTTTGAAATCAGTTCTTTAACAGATGCACCCTGCCTACAGTTGTAATGTACCTGTAATGACTCCTTTCAAGGGCCCAGTACTGTCTGACTGCCTGTAACATTTCTAACTTAGCTGTCTAGAATATCACTGAGTAATTTATTGCTGATATGATGAACCTGCTCACAAGAGACAGTAAAGAATTAAGCAAAAACTGAGGAAGTCACTCACATGGTCTTTGCAGAGATGCTTGGAGGAGAAGTTGTAATTTAAGCATTTAATAACAGCCCACACTTATCTCCATCTTCTGAAGAATCAGATGGCTCTGAGGCACTGGCTTTGGAGACAGATGAGTCTTCACGAGACGTAGTATTAAGACCTGCTCCATGGACAGAATCTCCGGTCCCTGTTATGGAAGGTAGGAAGGAAGCAGGCACTTACTTTATGGTCTGGAGGGATTATCTGCTCTCTAAGGGCACGAGGCAAACACAGGGAGGGGATCTTAATTTGCTCTCAACAAAAGGGCTTTTGACTCACAGCACATAATTTTCCGCAGAGAGCCTTTTTGAAGAACAACTGTCTCTGAGTTAGGTTAACTCGTTGCAGATACTGAGGCCACTATGTCAGGCCCATCAGCCATGGGGAAGCTGAAGGAATCTGAGCCTCTTCAGTGAGCTTGTTCACTGTGCAGAAACCAAATAAAGAATTGCCTCTGAGTTTTCTGAAACCATAGGTCTCAGAAGACATCTGCTCCTTTGAAAATGTTTTGTGTCCAAAGGTGCTGTTCTGAACATCATTTCCTGCCACGATTCCCCCCACTGATTTACTGTTTGTCTCTGTCCCTTAATACTCAGGGAACAACAGAAAGGTTTTTCAGAGAGGAATGAATAAAAGAATTTGTGCATAAAGCTGTCTACCGATAACTTGATGGCTGCCAAATGCCTGTTTTATCCTGAAAATAGGTTCTTGGTCAAAGGCTTTTTTGTCTAGCCTGCAATTAATGATGAACCTGCTCTTCCTTGCAGTTAAATGTGTGTTTTTCCACATTACCGGGTTATATCCAATCCACGGCTCATGTGTCTAGGTAAGAAACAGAATCACATTTGTCTGTGAACCAATCTATGGTAAAGGGAGGCTGTCCTAATGTGGACGATAGCAGCAAAACTGGCTGTATTTCGGGTGGGCCACTCTGCGGCCCAGGGCTGAGGTCACTGGGCTTTCATGCACTTTTATTTCTTTCCTGGAAAATAGTGATGACAGTTATTTTTCAGAAGCCCTGGGGCCCACATGTTGTTTACATCAAGGAAACTCTTGCATCTTTTGTCCCTAGGGAGCCCAGTGTATTTGTGACCTCCTTGCAAGCCACCTTTTCCCTGGCCTCCAGTGTGACACTCTTTGACCTGAATGATGGGATTCAGAAATTTGTCAATTCCTGCAGGTCCTCTGCTGAGGTCTGCCAACTCTTGGGATCCCAGGCACGGGTCTTTAGAGGTAAGAGTTGTAAAGTCCTTGGGGAGAACCCTGCCCACACATCCAGACCCAGACCCAGAGAGACAGAAGGTGTTCTGGACTCCAACCCAGGAAAGCTCATCAGAGAGCCTACCTTTGGAATGAGTGTGAAGCAGGAGGACTCTGTATGTATGCATCTTTGTGGGGGTGTGCAGGTGCACACACACACAGGCACGCACACATACGTACCCTCACTCAGGGTCCTGTATGCACACAGCCTTGAGGACGCTTGGTCTGTGACATGCAGCCCCTTCTGTTTCTCTTGTATGGTATAGGGGTGGGAGGGAGAGGAATGTAGGAGATAATATAACAAAGAGAAACTAACTGCTGTTTTTCCCAGCAGAGACAGTCACACACACAAGTGTATGTGCTTGGCAGTGACCTAAAAAGCTTTGTCATGATAACTATTAAGTAAAAATGCATGTGCAGTATTACCTATCTTTTTTGCTTTTTTACAAATTATAAGCACACATAAGAACACAGAGCAGAGGTAGTGCCAGTAACAATGATTTTTCTTCTCTTGTTCTTGCTTTGCCTGTTTTATCAAAAGCTTCCATAGTTCACCCATAGTAAGGTACATGGAGAAAACAGTTTGAGACAAGTTTGGAAGGCAGATTTGGGTCTTGGAGAGGAAGTTTCACCTCTGGGGTAGGAGAGCTGCTACAATCAAAAATGTTTCTTTGCAGAAAGGGCTGGTCCCACTTGGCACATCGTAAATGATCAAAGGGCTCTGGTTAGCTCATTTTACCTCAGGACTGGTGCTGGTGAAGGATGCAGGATTCAATGTAAACCTCCCCATCTGGTGTCCAGATGCTAGACATAGAGTGGAAGTATCAGACCCTTCTGTCTACTGGTTGATCTGGACAGTCTCAGTGGGTCAGGTTTTTGTAACTGCCGATCCAGTGAACTTTCTCCTGTGGCCTTGCATGTTGTGGAATTTGACAGCTGGGCAGTTAACCTTTCACCTTGGAAAAAGTGCTGGAAGTTGGCCAACTTAAGAGCTAATTATTAGTTTGAAAATATGGATTAAACTTTCTAGAATTACAGTGGCTTTCAATTGGGCAGTTGGTTGAAAAGTTTATGCCCCATTATACTGTCTTAAAAACTGAGACACTTAGGGCCAGGGATTTAGCTTAGAGGCACAAGCACCTGCCTGGCAAGCACAAGGTCGTGAGTTCAATCCCTGATACCAAAACAAAAAACAATAAACAAACAAATCTTGAGACTCTTTGGTTTGACTTTTTTGTTTCTCTTGCCAAGAATCCAGGGATACTAGTTTTTCATCCCCAGTGAGGCAAGAACCTTTCAATTCACCTCATATTTATGGAGTACATTTTATATGGTCAGCATTTGTACAGATTACTTGTTTGACCCCAGTAAATATATTTGTGCCTTATAAATCAGGTGACTGGAAACCTGGATTTGAGAGAGCCTGCTCATAGCAGTCCTGCTGTTCTCTGACCCTTACTCTTTGGACTGTTTGAATATGGCTTGCAGTATGGCTCCTATCATCCTTGCTTCCTTTCTGAGGCCCTCATTCTTTATTTTTCCTTTTAGAATCTCTGAGAACAAAAACAGCCATGCATTTTGGCTAAAAATGGGCTCTCTCGCCTGTTTTTCCCTCCTGCTTTTGCCAACACACCCCAGCTTGGTCTCTTGGTAACTCTTCCAACTGCTAAGGAGATAGCTTGACTAGTAGGAGCTGCCGGGCCCTGGTATCTGGGTGTTTCCGGCATGTGGAGAGCACTTGGCCATTCTGAACGCTTCATTGGAAAGGAAGGGGTTTTTTCCCCTTCAAGTCACCAAACATCCACTTCCCTGCCTTACAAAGAACTGCATGGTCTCTGGAGGTTTGTAGACCTTGGAAATCCCCCATGGAATGTCTCGGCCTTACATTTACTTTAGTGCTCATTGTCTGCTTGGGCGGATGTTACGCCCAGGAAAGACCATGGGAATTGTAAATGTACAAAAATCACACCACCAGGCTTAATATGAAATCATATGAATTGGTGAAGATTTAATTTTTTTAAAAAACTGTATAACAGTAAAAGACTAATTCTCCTCCAAATACACCTCCTTGTTTCAAACCTGCTTCCCTATCCTTCTTGATGCTCTCTGAAGCAATTCTGGAAACCCTTTTTGTGAATTTGTTTAGTTGCGCTGTCATGGCTGCCTCAGTGTCCTGAGTCCATTGAAAATACTCACCTTTCACAGCCATTGTGACTTTGGGGAAGAAGCAGAAGTCATAGTGTACCACATCCAGTGCGGCAGGTGGGTGAAGAAGCACGCTAACATTTTTACAAGCCTGCCTTCCCGTGGGATGGCACTTGACAGATATGTTTTATCACACCTCATCAACAGTCACTAAAAAGGACTTCCAGAGTAGTTTTAGAAAGTGATAAGAATGATGGATGAGTATATTTGAAGAGATTGGAGAGTATTTAGAAGGGGATTAATGGCAGCATGTCTTTTGCTGTAATTTTTTAAAAATTTAAATATTCACTGTATTTCAATCACATGTTGCATGTGGTTTTATTTGATGGAATCATCATAAAACATTCTTTGAGAATTTTGAAGAAAGCAGCTCCTCACTGCAGGGGAAGAGCTTGTTCTCCCTGCTTTTGCATGAATCTCTTTCTGTACAGGGATCAGTTGCTTCAGCATGGCAAAGAGTGTTTGCCAGCAGCCTAAATCAGTGGGCAGGATGGAAAGAAAATATGACATTAGCTTCCAGAAAATATCTAATCAGACCAGCAGTCCAGGCTGGCCTCTGGACAAGACTGGGGATACCCAGATAACTTTTTGTCCTGGGATATTTCTCTTTCTATTAAGGGCAGAGGACTGGTAGAGGCTTCAAAGGTTTTAGATGAGGGTAGTAGAGGTTCAGTACTTTCCTGGTGCCAGCTTTGCAGTGTTCACTTGGTGAGATTTTCTATTAAAAAAATTTCTATCTTATATACAGAATTCTTACAGTAAACAAGGGAAATTCAGTCACACACAAATGGCATTCTGGTTTAGCATGCACAAGGCAGGAAATTCGGGGTTCAGAACTGAAGTTGTGTCCTTAACTTACTTGCAGTGCCCAGGCTGCTCACTGACCTGAGTCCTCAAGACTACAGGAGTGGCTTCGGGGACCCTGTGTGGGCTGATGAGCCCTAATGCCAGCTCCCCTTTCCAGGACCTGCCTGGGCAAGGAGCAAGTTTGCAGTGTTAGCAGCTGCTGCCTCATTTCTGAGTAGGTTGGGGTTCCCTTAGAGCAGAAGAGAGCAGACTGTGCCTAGAAAATTGGCAGCCACCCCTCAGCGCATAGCATGTACATTTGCCTTCCCATGTCAGCCTTCCTTCTGAGTTGAACTTGCTCTTGTCTTCAGACAACAATGCATGCTGATTTTACCTTGCCCTATACTTGGCATTCATTGTCCAGCAGTTTCATATTTTTGTTCTTCTGACTGGATATTCCTATTTATTACATGGACTTTTTGTGCCAGGTCTGCCCAGACTTTAAAATGTATCCTCATCCTGTCTGCTGTAAACAGCTTTATAGAGGACCATATTCCCTACAATGAATGCTTTATAATAATGAAATGACTCTTTGTTACTCAAGAAATTAATAAAGCCCTAAAGTGAAGCAGCCTGCCAGATTGGCTTCCGGCCTGCCCACTGCTGCTGCTCTTGGTAGTGATGCTGTGAGCAGTGGACGGGTAACATCTTTAGCGCAGGCAGTCCTACAGTGCCCACACTAGGTGCCAAAGGCCCGGAGATGAGTGAGACCCCATCACTGTGGTGGGAGAGACAACCACATCCATGTAACTGCACTCCAGCCTAAGTGGTCAGATAGCTGCCATACCCCTTTTGTTGGGTAGCTCACTGTCAGGGCAGCAAGCCTAGGTGGAGTGTGCTGTATCCCTCTAGGCCAGCAGTGGTGAACCTCTGTTCCACATGCTGCAGCAGGCGAGAGCCCTCCTCTCTGTGGGCTCATGAGCCACGTCACTCCAGCATCGCTCCCACGGCTGCATGTGGGATAACAGCACACGTGGGGGCAGTGTTGGCGCTTTGTGATAAATAAGTGGGTTTGGGTTACACTTTGAGTGCTTGGTCTTTAAAAGGTTTGCCATCACTACCCAAGGCCATGCAGACACGCAGAACTGAGACCTGCTTCCACTTGAGACAGATCATCTAGTACTAATTGTGGCCTAAGTCTCTCAACTGCCTAAGACCATGGTCCCATTTTCAGGTTTGGCCCGGTCCTCCTGCTGCCCTGTCCTGTCCTGTTCTGTTCTCTTGCACTGAAAGCATAGAACACCCCCCAGGAGGCCACATTGCAGGGGGTGCTACACTTCCTCCCACGCATTTTCTCTGTGACTGTTTTCAGTGAGGCGTGCTCGTGAGCATTCAGCGTGTAGGACCGGGACTGACCCAGACAGCCGGTGGCAGAAGGCTGTGTGGGGTGACCTAGGACATCTTTTCAGAGCCTCTTGAAATACCAAGTTCCAGCATGTAAAGTTTTGAAGTGGAGGAGGTTTTGTTTTACTTCACTGTCGTGCTTTTCTGTTCCAGCGGGCAGCTTGTGTAAGCAGAAGAGCCCACAGTGTGACACAGAGACCTCCATCTGTACTGACTTAGACGGGGTCGCCCTGTGCCAGTGCAAGTCGGGCTACTTTCAGTTCAATAAGATGGATCACTCCTGCCGAGGTAGGCGACATAGGCAGTTCTCCCTGAGCTGTCCTGGGACAGGAAGACACTTGCCTCTGTGGGGTCCTCTCCCTCTCGGCTCTGGGTGGACCTCTTCTAAATTGGGGGTGACTGGTTTTTGTTATTTTTTTCACAGCAGGTTTGAATACATTATCTCCTTAGAATAAAAACATTATCTTAACTGGTACATGCTGGTCTCTCCAGTTCCATCCTAAAGAAAGAAAAGGGGAAAAGGGAAAGAAAAGAGAATGGAATACCTGTGGGAGCAATGCTTATTTTGTTTTTCACTTAAAAGTTACAAAAATCATTGTTATTGTTGCCAAAACTTTATCTGTTGCTTATTAATCTTTTGGGGGGAGGCTGTGGATACTGGGAATTGAACTCAGGACCTCACACTTGCCATGCAGACAAGATATTGCTGAATTGTATCCCTGGCCCTGCTGCCTATTTGTCTTTTAAAATGGAAATAGGAGCATGGATCCAGGCCTGTGCCTTTCAGCAGTAGCTGTGGCTCAGAAGACCTGAGGCAGAGCCATGTCTTCCTCACTGGGTTCCATCTTTGGGCAAGTCAGTTCATTTCTCTAAGCCTCAGTTTCCTCCTCTGTGAAATGTGTGTAATGGTACTGCATTAATTATTTCTTTTTTTTTTTAATTTTTATTTAAGGAGAAAAGAAAAGAAAGAAAAAAAAACAGTGAAGGGGTACAAGTTATACAGATTTACAGAATAAAAAAATGCGCAGTAGGAAATCACTAGTTAATGGATTACATATTGCCATCTTAGAAATAATTGTTCAAGTCACAAAATTAAAGCTTGTAGAGTGGACATTCCAACAATGATACTGCAAACAGTTCTGTTCAATGATCCAATAAAACTCTGTGATATCATTTTCTATCTTATACATTTAAATATACATGCAGTTATATAGTTTAGAGCACTTTCTTTTCCTCTCTTTTGTACAGTGACTATTACACATTTTGGGTTTCATTGCTCCCACGGTTCTTGTTGCTTTTTTGGAAGAGAGTAAAACCAAATGTGACATAACAGAACAGAATCGGTCAAGTCAAAAGGGTGGACATAATAGATAATATAAAAACATAATACAAGGTGATCAACAATGGTTACCATAATGCCTCCCGCTATTTCTAATAGAATTGCCTATATCATTAGTTGTAATACAATTGAACAAAACCATAAAGAATAAAACCGACAAAACCAAAACATTGGAGATATTGTAGGTCTTCAAAAGTAGATAAAAGTCAACGAGAATGGGCGTTATAATGAATCTCATTATCTTCTCAGCTGATGCCTAAACTTTCGAACCTGATACTATCCAGCAAAACAGAATATAGGAACCTCAATCAAAAACAAGATGGTGAGAGTAATACAGGGCTTCAAATCGAGATAATAGAAAGTCAAAGTGGGTTACTATATTATATCCTGCTATATTTTTCCCTTTAATTAAATGGATAAAAATAAAAAAGTAAATAATAGAATGGAGATTGAGAAAAAAGAGGGCATAACAGCGAAACAGGGCAGATCAAAACATAACCATTTAAGCAGAATAGTGTTTCACCACCAGCTAATCCTGACCCAAAAATAGTTACCATATTGACTCCCTCCCTGAAGTCCTTGAGTACAACTTCATATACTGTAGCATTAAGTATATCAAAACAATGTAAATCCATTTAAGAGAATGACAGCATTATAGAGTATTTAGAATCAACTAACAGAAAATGAACAATGGTCTCTGTATAATCTCCTTGTCTTTAAAAGGTTTTTTCTTATACTATCGTACATAGCAAAATCCAATAAGATACAACCTGTTTAGACCATTGGAGACAGAAGAACAAAAGCTAGATGAGACTTCAAAACAAGATGGTACTAAATCAGCATTACCTATTAAGATGTCATTTTCTCCAAAAAAAGCTGTTCCTATCATCCAATCTTCTCTGTCTCATTTCTGTTGAGCACTTTTTCTGTCAGTAGCTGTCAGTTTGTCTTCTTCATTTTGTTCTCTGCTCCATTCGTTGTGGCCTCCCCGCCCCTATTTCTGGGTTCTTTGTATTTTTCTTTTTTTAGAATATCCTGCAATACTTTCTGTAGGGTTGAATTGGTGGTTGCAAATTCCCCCAGTTCCTCTTTATCTTGGAAGCACCTCGTTTTTCCATCAATTTCCAGGGACAGTTGTGCAGGATATCTCAATCTTGGCTGTAGATTATTATCTTTCAAAGCTTGAATTATTTCTCCCCATGCTCTTCGTGATTTGATGGTTTGTGAAGAGAAATCTGCTGTAATTCTGATGGGTCTTCCCTTGTAAGTGATCTGTTTCTTGTCTCTTATAGCTTTTAATATTCTGTTCTTGTATTGAATTTCTGGAATTTTTATTATTATATGCCTGGGTGTTTCTCTGTTAGGGTTGTAGGTAGCTGGGGTCCTGTATGCCTCATACATTTGAGTATCTTAACCTTTTGCTAAATTAGGAAAATTCTCCTGGATTATTTCTGTGAGTAGCTTTTGTAGTTCACTTGTTTGTGTCCCTACTTCTTCTTTTATGTTCTTAATCCTTAAGTTATGGCTCCTCTTATCATCTTCTTGTCTTTGTATTATTGCTGTGTGTTTCTTTGTTATTTTTAAGAAGTTTTTCATTTCATTCTCCCATGTTTCAAGTCTGCCCTCCAATTCAGATAGTCTGTCCTTAGTTTCTTTCAAGCTGTTATGCCAGTCTTGGGTAGACTTCTTGATTTCTTGATAGTCCCTTTGCACCTGCTTCACATACTCAATGCTTTCTCTGTTTTCTCCATCAAGCAATTCTCCCCTCTTTTTCTGTTCTTCCATTCCACCATCTGCTTTTTCCTGGGTGGTGCTTAGCATTTCTCTATTCTGCATACTTCTAGCTTCAGGTCATTGATAACTTCATTCCTGAATTGGTCTATGAGGCTCTCTAAATGGCGCTTAATGTATATTGGTGCAGTGTCCACTATTGCCTGATTCTCAGGATTGGGGGTCGAGGAGCCTTTTTTTTTGCTTCCCTTCCCCATATTTTCTGTTCCTTATAAAATGCAAGCTTACATGGGAGGCCCGGCTTCCCTGCCTGTCAGCCACAGCTTGATCAAATTGCGCTGGTTAGTTGTTCCCGCTCACCGCTGCGCCCCAGGGAGCTGCGGAGGAGGCAGCCTACGCGGGAGTCGGTCGCTCCTCCGGGCCACCATCAGGCTCTGGGATCTGGGTTAGGCCAGCCTAGGGAGTCCGCCAGCAGCGTCCCTCCAGCCAGGCACCTTTCACCAATCCCGTCCGAGAGGGAAACGTGCGGCTGCAGTTGCCACCGCGCCCTGCTCTTACAGGACTGCCCACGCCCAGAAAAACCTCCGCTGGAGTCAAACTGCGGTAGGGAGTCAGTTCCTCGCTCACCTCGCCACCAGTCAGCCTTCCTCCCTGTCCGTCACGTTTCCGACTCCGTTTGCAGACTCCCGTTCCCAAGCCTCTGCGCGTCTCTCCTTGCCGAGCCGCTATGGAGGTAGCCGGCCGCCGGGCGGCGGGAAATCCAAACCGCGGTTTCCGATGGCGCGGGAACTCCGTTCCCAGACTCCCGTTCCCAGAGCTCGGCGGTCGCGTCTCTCCTTGCCGAGCCCCTGTGGAGGTAGCCGGGCGCCGGGCGGCGGGAAATCCAAACCGCGGTTTCCAATGGCGCGGAGTCGAGCCTCCACACCGAGATTTTTCTGTTCCTATTTTAGCGCCAGGACTGTATTCCAAGTTGGATTCTCTCAGCCCAGTTCGTTCCTGAGTCAGCAGAGCATATCTCTACTGGTTCGTATCTCCTTAGTCCGCATCATTCCTGGCCTCTGAGCCGAGCCTTTAGAGAGCGTTCAGTAGTTGCTGTTGTCTGTCCGCCATGTTCTCTCCGATCCTGCATTAATTATTTCTAATAATTAAAAAAAGGACATGTATGGAGAGGTACTTTGTAAGCTATCAGCGTTGACTCTTGTATTTTACCCAGGCTGGTGTTGAATTAATGAGGTATAGTTTTAAAGGTTTCATGAAATGTTTGAGAGCTGAAATCTAATTCTGCTAACCTTTTCAGTGTGGTTTAAGTTATTTGGTTTGAGATAAAGACTATTCAGTTTGAGAATATTGCTTTAAAATAAAATTAATCATAGTCAGAGCACGGTATATTCTGACAATTCATCAGCATCAGAAAGGCTGCACTGTAAATACAGGTTGGTTTTTGTTTTTGTGAAACTCTTTAAGTATTGCCTCCCATTGGAATGCCAATGACAACAGATCTCTTGCCCAGTCATCACCTGGCTGGTGATAGGTGTCCTGGGAGCTAAGTAAAAATCACATACTGGGGCAAGGTATGTGCTTATTTCTGGCAGGGCTTCCCACCAAAAGACTTGTTCCATCAAAAGAATATAAAAATACATTCTGGGGCAGCACTCCTATCCTGACCTTCAGACCCTCTATCCTTGTTAAGGTTTAAGAACAGAGTTCTTTCTAAGTGACTAGACTGTTCTCCAGGCAGGACACGTATAGGTTTTAAAGAAGGCCACCTCTCTGAGCTGGGCATCAGCACTGATATACAACTGCTCTACAGCATTTCTCAGTGCATATACACACAAAAATAAAAAGAAATGTACACATGACTTCCAAGAGAACATGGCGGATAGATAGTAGCAGCTTTAGAGGCTCTCCAAGAAACCACACTTCAAATCCAGGAATGCTGCCGGGCGAGAAGTCCTAAGCAAGGGGAGTTACACCCCGCCGACCCAGGAACAAACTAAACAAAGAGAAGCCAATTGGAAACGCAATCCTGATGTTATAACAGAAACAGATAAGGTCTCAGCGCGAAAGCAGGAGCCCGCACCATTGGAAGCTGTGATTTGAATTTCCAGCAGCCGCTGCTGCGTCCCAATCAGCACGGCAAGAAGAGAGGCACGAAAGCTCTGAGAGTGGGAAGCAGTGAATGGAGTTGAGAGTGGGACTGGCCGGGAGCCCTGCATCG